GATCGAGGCTAGGACCTTCGGTAGCTTTAAGAAGAGATTGGACAAATATACGAGTTGGAGGAGCTGAGTTTGATTTGTGTCATTGGGTACGGGAGTAAATTCTTGGGTAGCTTTGGGTGGAGGTCATTTTGATAAGGACCTGCCTTGTATGGGCCAGTAGACCTGCAGTGTTCTTCCATTGTTATGTTCTTATTGGCTATTTGTTTGTGTGAGGGAGGGATGGCAAGTTTATTGTTGGAGAATATGACACTAATATCAACTCTATGGCTTATTTATCTATCACAATTCAACTAATATGACATAATAAACAATATTAACCCTTTGAGGGTCGACAGGCCCTCTCAGAAACTTGTTCTAGAGTTTTTTTTTCTAAACATTTTAGGATAAACAAAAATTTTTTACCATCAATACTTACGGAGATATGGAGGCATAAAGTTTGCAGAAAATGAGCCGCGTATGGCAACAGTGGCGACTGCCGCTCACCCGGTAAACTTTAGTTTACTTGTATTTGAAGGTTTCTTGTTTTTTTCACTATTTTATTTTTTCACATAACTTATGTGGCCTATGAGACCAAAGTAAGGTGCAATGTACATATATACACTCGTTGTATACAACACAATAAGCACACAAACATAATTATCAATATATTGTTTACAAAACTTGTTTACAAAAACAAACAATACAAAACATTGTTTATTATTATTGTTCTATAATATATATACCAATATACAGTCACTGAACATATTCCTATTAGTTCTGCAGCTTGTGGAACTCTGAAACATGGTGTCATACACAATGGTGTTTTATCTTTCTCCCTCATTCTATCTCTTTCAATCTGTCTCTCTCTTTCTGTCTGTCTATCTCTGTCTCACAGGTACACATAAATACAAGTATACATAGTATAAATTACCTAGGACAACCCAAGAAATCCAGACAAAGTGCTGTACTCTGCTTGAAGATGTGAGTAAAAGTGATGACGCAGTCTTGTGGCTCTCTGAGACAGAGAGCTAGACGGATAGACAGGGAGCTTGACAGACAAACAGACAGACAGAAATGTTAGTGTACCAGCAGAAACAAAGGGAGGGCGATGTTCATCTAATCTTTTATTATCAGTTCCACCCTCGTTTAAGCTCATCAAAAGTCATCTCTTATCAGATGTTATCTCCCCTTATCTTGTCACTGTCATGGGGTGGACTTTTTTTTTTTCTTGCTTCAAGGGAAAAATATTATTACATCATCTTCTTCCTCTTCTTCCTCCTCTTCCTCATCCTTCTCCTCCTCTTCCTCTTCCTCCTCTTCCCCCTACTCTTCCTCCTCCTCTTCTTCCTCTTCCTCTTCTTACTCCTCCTCTTCCTCCTCTTGCTGCTCCTCCTCTTCTTCCTCTTCCCCCTACTCTTCCTCTTCCTCCTACTCTTCCTCTTCCTCCTCCTCCTCTTCTCCTCTTCCTCCTACTCTTCCTCCTCCTTCTCCTCTTCTTCTCTTCCTCTTCCCCTAATCTTCCTCCTACTATTCCTCTTCCTCTTCCCCTAATCTTCCTCCTACTATTCCTCTTCCTCCTCCTCTTCCTCTTCCTCCTCCTCTTTTTTCCTCTTCCTCCTCCTCTTCTTCCTCTTCCTCCTACTCTTCCTCCTCCTCTTCTTCCTCTTCCCCTAATCTTCCTCCTACTATTTCTCTTCCTCCTCCTCTTCCTCTTCTTCCTCTTCCTCCTCCTCCTCTTCTTCCTCTTCCTCCTACTCTTCCTCCTCTTCTTCCTCTTCCTCCTCATCCCCCTAATCTTCCTCCTACTATTCCTCTTCCTCTTATTCCTCTTCCTCCTACTCTTCCTCTTCCTCCTCCTCCTCTTCTTCCTCTTCCCCCTACTCTTCCTCCTTCTCCTTCTCCTCCTCCTCCTCCATAGTGTAAATTACCAGGAGTCGGCAGCTGTCAAAATGACATATTGTCTCATTACTCACTCCCCCTCCCGCCTGTCAAAACAATGGGGTCGGATGCTGCTTCCCCTCCTCCATTCTATCCAATTATCTTTCTCCCTCATTCTATCTCTTTCTATCTGTCTGTCTATCTCTGTCTCACAGGTACACATAAATACAAGTATACATAGTATAAATTACCTAGGATAACCCAAGAAACCCAGACAAAGTGCTATACTCTGCTTGAAGATGTGAGTAAAAGTGATGACGCAGTCTTGTGGCTCTCTGAGACAGAGAGCTAGACGGATAGACAGGGAGCTTGACAGACAGGCAAATAGACAGACAGAAATGTTAGTATACCAGCAAAAACAAAGGGAGGGCGATGTTCATCTAATCTTTTGGTATCAGCTGCACCCTCATTTACCCTCATCAAACGTCAGCACTTATCAGATGTTATCTCCCCTTATCTTGTTACTGTCATGGGTGAACATTTATTATTACATATTATTATTATTATTACGTATTATTATTATTATGTATTATTATTATGTATTATTGTTATCATTACGTATTCTTCTTCTTCCTCCTCCTCCTCCTCTTCTTCCTCCTCCTCCTCCTCCTCCTCCTCTTCTTCATCCTCCTCCTCCTCCTCTGCCTCCTCCTCTTCTTCCTCCTCCTCCTCCATTCTTGGAACAAGTTTGAAGAGCTTGTAGTTCATAATCACTATCACTATCATCACCAATGCTCACATCTGAGTCTGGGATTTGGGAAAATAGGAGTTTCCTCTTTGATTCTGGTACAACTGAACGTGAACAAGACGGCCCAGCACCAGAGGTGGAAGGCTGTGGGTTGTCTGGGTTTTCCTCACTATTACCCATATTATGGTCATTAGTTTAGGTCAAAACCTCACCAGAACCTTGAAACTCATCTTCACTGTCACTTCCATCTGTATTAGAACTGTCACTGGGGAACAAAAGTGTCCCAATTCGCCGAGGAGTGAGGAACTTCTTACCGCTAGGCACAGTGGACATTGTGTACTATGATGGCATTCTCACAATGCACCACTGGGTCCCAGATTTTTTTCCTACTGTGCACACCCACCACACAGACCCATTCTCTCACATCTAGGCTTATCAGCCTTTTCCTGCGAGATTTGACAGCGCTAGAATTTATGCGTACTAGTACGTCAAAAACCCCTGCTCGTAAGATGTACTAGTACGGCCGAAACCCTCAAAGGGTTAATAACATAGAAACATGGAATATACTCTTGAATGAATAAAATAAGTCATTACGTATGTCACGAGAGGTGTTGTGTTGTGTTGTTGTTGGGTATATAAGGGCCACTGAGTGTAAGCCGTCCATAATGGTGGTGAGGCGGCGGTGGTTTTTGTAGCCTTATATAACTCTAACAACATTGGAGGAGTTGGTAGAATCACTGAATCACTAAAGAAGGAACCCTCTACCACCATCACTACGACCTTCTACCACTATTACAACTATTACCACCATCACTACTACCTTCTACCACCATCACTACCACCAAAGAAAGCTTCTAGTGCCAGCCCTTTGGTAAAGAATGTGAGAAACACATTATTTATGAAAAAGTTTGTAGAAAAATACAAAGATAGTGGTGGCAGAGTGGAAGCAGTTGTGATAGTGGTTGATGAACATAAGAATATAAGAACATAAGAAAGGAGGATCACTGCAGCAGGCCTGTTGGCCCATGCTCGGCAGGTCCTGTACAATTCATCCCACTAACGAAACATTTTCCCAACCCAGTCCTCAATGCTACCCAAGAAATAAGCTCTGATAACTCTATCCACTCATTTGCAAGTCCCAAATGGGTTTTTAATAGCACTGATTAAATTATTGGGATCCTGTAAACCATAAACAATCATTCCTGGTTTTATTTTATTATCCAAGAAATATAGTAAATCTTCTATTTTTGTGTATACCTGGAGTATACCTGGAAAGGGTTTTGGGGGGTCAACGCCCCCATGGGGAGCGTGGATCAGGGCCGGATCAAGTGGATCAGTGGATCAGGGCCGGATCAACCAGGCTGTTACTGTTGGCCACACATAAACCGACGTACGAACCACAGTTCAACTGGTCAGCTACTGACTTTAGGTGCCTGTCCAGAGCTTTCTTGAAGAGTAAATTCAACATGAAAGCAAGTGTAATATAGGGGAGGCCTGGGGAGGCCAAGGGAGGCCTGGGGAGGCCAAGGGAGGCCTGGGGACATGACTACTGAACAGACAAAATGTCATCTTAATGCCAGCATTGTCTACAATGTTTATTACGAACTCTATTTTTAAGTTTAACTTCTTTTAATTTTTCTTGTAAAACTGGTTAAATTACTGACTTCTGTGTATTTTATAGGGTAGTTGTGATAGCTGAATGGGCAGTTTCTTGTGCTCATTTGATAGAACAGAAGACATACTAGTGAAATAGTTATGAACTTGATTGATTGGGGACAACAGAATTGGCTTAACAAAGGACTCAAATTGGACAAAATTGCCATGGTGTAAACTGTGCTAAGACCGCTAAACTTGCAACTGTGTAATTCCCTAAGTTGTCCATCAAACTGTATTTTTGGTGTCATTCAGAAAAACTTTCTCTACCATTTCAAAGTGGACGAAGAGCAATATTAATTTTGGGAATCTGGACAGTGACAGGGTTAAAAAAAAAATCACTAAGACTGACACAATATTCACTGTAAGATCGACACAAACTCGCTGTAAGACCGACACAAACTCACTGTAAGACTGACACGATACTCACTGTAAAACTGACACAATACTCCCTATAAGACTGACAATACTCGCTGTAAGACTGACACAATACTCACTGTAAGACCGACACAATACTCACTATAAGACTGATACAATACTCACTATAAGTCTGACACAATACTCACTATAAGACTGACACAATTATCACTAAGACTGACACAATACTCACTATAAGACTGACACAATACTCATTAAGACTGACAATACTCACTACAAGACACACAATACTCACTACAAGACCGACACAATACTCACTGTAAGACTGACAATACTCACTATAATACGATACAATACTACTCACTATAAGACTCTTGGTAACTTTCTTAAGTTCAGTGTAGTCCTTGGAGGAGAGGGTTTTCTGACATGGGTAGTTCCAGACATTGTTGGAGTCACACTTGGGACAGATATAATCATCAATATCATCTGCCTCTGTCTGCATGATGCCCACACACTTGCCATGGTACCAGTCCTCACACTGCTCACAACAAATGTAGAACTGTGTCTCGTCGTACGGCTGAAACAACAACAAACGCGTTTTATACCAAACTTGACACTGCGGACATGAATGACGTTTCACACAATGTTGCTAAGCACTACTTTAATACTCAGGGGAACTGACAGCTGAAATAACGATGGAATGTTAAGCAGATGGGACAGTTTCTCTTGCTCACACAACACAAACAACACCCACAAACACACACACACACACAAAAGGCACACACACACACATACAAAACAAACACAACACACACACAAATGCACAACACACACACAACAAATGCACAACACACACACAACAAATGCACAACACACACACAACATACAAACACCCACACATTACACAAAACAAACAACACACACACACAACAAACAATGCACACACACAAACACACTCACCTGTCGACAGAAGCAGAAGAGTTCCTTGTTAAGTTTAGCATTGGCACAATCATCACAGACGTACTCGGTCATGCTGCGGCTCATGGCCTCGGTGATGCCCACGCAGTCACCATGGAACCAGTTACCACACAGGTCACAACCCACGTAAAACCTGCAACATACACATCGACTTAGTCTTGACAATGTTTCACTTGCAACAAAGAACACTGTGTTGCCACTTTAACTTAAAAAAAAAAAAAAAAAACAGGTTGAAGGACTTCAAACATTCCCAGTAACTGAGGTGCTTGACTACTTATATGTGCTGTGACAGTTTTCTGTGCATTCTCCAGGTCTGCAATTTTGCCTGCCTTGAAAGAGGTTGTTAGTGTACAGTAATATTCCAGCATAGAGAGAGCAAGCAATTTGAAGGGAATGATCATGGGCTTGGCATCCCTAGTTTTGAAGGTTCTCATTATCCATCCTATCATTTTCCTAGCAGATGTGGTAGCTACATTGTTGTGATCTTTGAAAGCAAGATCCTCTGACATTATCACTCCCAGGTCCTTCATATTAGTTTTTTGCTCCGATGTGTAAATGGAATTTATTTTATACTCTGTTCTAGTTTTTAATTCCTCAAGTTTTCCATAGCAGAGTAACTGAAATCTATCTTTATTGAACTTCATACTGTTTTCTGAAGCCCATTTAAAGACTTTGTTAATGTCCACTTGGAGATTTAGTGTCTTCGATGGATGACATTGTCATGCAGATTCTGGTATCATCAGCAAAGGACATGATGTTGTGGCTTACATCTCTATGTCAGATAGGAGGATGAGGAACAGGAGGGAAAAAGAGTACTGTACCTTGTGGAACACAGCCTTTCACTATAGCTGCCAATGACTTCACTCTGTTTACCATTACTCTGTGTTCTGCTTGTTAGGAAGATACAGATCCATCGACCCACTTTTCCTGTTATTCCTTTATCACCCATTTTGTGTGCTGTTACACCATGATTGCACTTGTCGAAGATATGCTCAAAGTCTGTGTACACTGCATCTGCATTACCTTTGTCTTCCGCAGAAGCCAAGACCATGTCATAGTTGTCCAGTAATTGTGAGAAGCAGGAGTGATCATCCAAAGACCATGTCATAGTGGTGCAATAACTGAGAGGCAGGAGTGACCTGTTCTAAACCCATGCTGCCCTGGGTTGTACAACTGTTGGGTGTCCAGATGGTTGGCAATCTTGCCTCTTAGAACCCTTACAAAGATTCTTGTGATGTGGGATGTAAATGCTATCAGTATGTAATTCTTTGCGATTGCTTTACCGTCACCTTTGTGGAGTGGGACTGTGTCTGTTGTTTTTAGTGACTGGGATGATCCCCGTGCCTAAGATGTGGGATGGCCCCTGTAACCCACGTCTAGACTATGGGATGACCCCATGTCTAGGATGTGTTATGACCCCCATGTCTAGGATGTGGGATGATCCCCCATGTCTAGGATGTGAAATGACCCATGCCTAGGATGTGGGATGACCCATGTCTAGACTGGAATGATCCCCATGTCTATGCTCCTTCTCCAGGCATGTTGTCAAAGACTTTTTCAGTCCAGTGGTGTTAGAGTTGTCAGAAATTTTGAAAATGGTTGACAAGACTTTGGAGCTCATTTATAAAAAATTAATTTGGATTGTCAGTCTCGAGTCAGATTAAGAGTTCACTAAACACAGAGTTATAATGGGACCTCAGTATCTCTCTCATTTCTCTGCTGTTATCTGTATAAGTCCTATATTGTTTAAGCAAGGGTTCCAAAGCTGGATGTGGTTTTTGCCTTTTTTGTTTTTTTTTTGCATATGAAAAGTAATGTTAGGATTTCTTTCAATTTCATTTATGACTTTTAGCTGCTCCTGTCTCTCCTGGGTCCTGTGAGATTCATTTAACTTAGGTTCAATATCTACTACTTCCCTATTCAGTGTTTCCTCTTGCATTTCAGGTGGTCTAACCCCCTTGAGCACCTCTGTGATTCCCTGCCTTCGTATGTGTAGGGAGCGTCTCTTTATTTCTAGTTTACAGCTTCTCTTCTTTTTTTCCTAAAGGAATGTGCCATGAGCAGACCTTAAGTGCAACAGATTTAATTCTTTCTAGGCAAAGGTTCAGATCCATGTTGTTTAGGATGTCTTCCCAGCTTGTTTCACTTAGGACATGGTTGATTTGATACCACTATATGTTTTTGTTGTTAAGAGTTAAATTTGTTGGTGGAAGTACAGTGTTTGTACTCTGAAGGATGAGTGGTGCTGGTGGGGGTGGTAAGTGCAGTACCTGTACTCTGAAGGATGAATGGTGGTGGTGGGGTGGGAAGTACAGTGCCTGTACTCTGAGGGATGAATGGTGGTGGTGGGGTGGAAAGTACAGTGCCTGTACTCTGAAGGATGGGTGATGGTAGGAAGTACAGTGCCTGTACTCTGAAGGATGGGTGGGTGATGGTAGGAAGTAGTGTCTGTACTCTGAAGGATGGGTGATGGTAGGAAGTATAGTGCCTGTACTCTGAAGGATGGGCTAGATGTCATAGTTCAGAGGGTCACCTGAACTGTGGCACCAATACACTTCTGGCAAGTCAGTGATTGACTGAACAATAGTGAAAGCATTTTGTTGTGTGTTGGAGCACTCTACCTTGCTGGGAGACCACCGCTCCATTATAAACACACTAGCTGCAACAAAAACTTGAGAATGCCTTTCTTGTTACATGCAACAACAACTACAGGAGTCCATGGGGGATAAGTGCCAAGACCTACCATGGATGCCTGAAACCACGGATAGTACCAAACCCTTTAAGTCGTTTTTTGTTTACATACATATCTATGATAAAGTTTAATTGATAAATTAAACTTTATCATAGATATGTAAGTGGAGAATTAACATTTTTTCACTGATGGGAAGCACTTCATGGCCTCTCTTAAGCAAAATTAAGTTATTTTCAGGCCACAGTAAACCATGGAAATGGGGATTCTGATGTACCTGTTACACACAAACAACAATATTGTGGTCATCTTACTTGGTGTCGTCAAAATGCGTCCGACAGATGCAGACGATTTTTTTTGTTTTGTTCTTGGAGGCCTTTTTGGTGGAGGATGTCTTGGCCGTTGTCTTGGCTGAAGTGGGTGACTTGATGGACACCGGACTCTTGGCGGAGTTGATGGTGTTGTCCGGGGGCGGAGATGGCTGTGGCACATGTGGTGACTCCGACGCCAGCTGCACCATGCCACCACCACCACCAGACACCTGCGTCGCTGATGATTCTGACGCTGTGCAAGAAATATCAATTATGACTGGAACATTTATGTCCACTGATGATACATGAAGTGTTATGTAATACACCAAGTGTCTTAATACACCAAGTATGTTAAATAATACAAGTGTGTTAAATAATACAAGTGTGTTAAATAATACAAGTGTGTTAAATAATACAGCAAGTTACCTGGAGAGAGTTCCAGGGGTCAACGCCCCCGCAGCCCAGTCTGTGACCAGGCCTCATGGTGGATCAGGGCCTGATCAACCAGGCTGTTACTGCTGGCTGCACGCAATCCAACGTACGAACCACAGCCCTGCTGGTCAGGTACTGACTTTAGGTGCTTGTCCAGTGCCTGCTTCAAGACTGCCAGGGTCTATTGGTAATCCCCCTTATGTATGCTGGGAGGCAGTTGAACAGTCTTGGGCTCCTGACACTTATTGTGTTGTCTCTTAACGTGCTAGTGGCACCCCTGCTTTTCATTGGGGAAATTTTGCATCATCTGCCGAGTCTTTTGCTTTCGTAGGGAGTGATTTTCGTGTGCAAGTTTGGTATTAGTCCTTCTAGGATTTCCCAGGTGTATATAGTCATGTATCTCTCCCGCCTGCATTCCAGGGAGTACAGGTTCAGGAACTTCAAGCGCTCCCAGTAACTGAGGTGTTTTATCTCAGTTATGCATACTGTGAAGGTTCTCAGTACATTTTCTAGGTCAGCAATTTCACCTGCCTTGAAAGGAGATAGAACAAGTGACCTGAAGTGTGTCATCATGAGCTTGGCATCCCTAGTTTTGAAGGTTCTCATTATCCATCCTGTCATTTTTCTAGCGGATACAATTGGTCCTTGAAGGTGAGATCCTCCGACATGATCACTCCCAGGTCTTTGATGTTAGTTTTTTGCCCTATGGTGTGGTTGGAATTTGTTTTATACTCTGATGAAGTTTTAATTTCCTCATGTTTACCATATCGGAGTAATTGAAATTTCTCATCGTTGAACTTCATATTGTTTTCTGCAGCCCATTGAAAGATTTGGTTGATGTCCGCCTGGAGCCTTGCAGTGTCTTCAATAGAAGACACTGTCATGCAGATTCGGATGTCATCTGCAAAGGAAGACATGGCACTGTGGCTTTTATCCCTGTCTAAGTCTGATATGAAGATGAGGAACAAGGTGGGAGCAAGTACTGTGCCTTGTGGAACAGAGCTTTTCACCGTAGCCGCCTCAGACTTTACTCTGTTGACTACTACTCTCTGTGTTCTATTTGTCAGGAAATTATAGATCCATCTACCAACTTTTCCTGTTATTCCTTTAGCACGCATTTTGTGCACTTGTCAAAGGGTTTTACAAAGTCTGTGTATATTACATCTGCATTCTTTTTGTCTTCTAGTGCATGCAGGACCTTGTCGTAGTGATCCAGTAGTTGGGACAGACAGGAGCAACCTGCTCTAAATCCATGCTGCCCTGGGTTGTGTAATTGATGGGTATCTAGATGGGTGGTGATTTTGCTTCTTAGGACCCTTTCAAAGATTTTTATGATATGGGATGTTAGTGTTATTGGTCTGTAATTCTTTGCTATTGCTTTACTGCCACCTCTGTGGAGTGGGGCTATGTCTGTTGTTTTTAGTAACTGTGGGACGACCTCAATGTCCATGCTCCCTCTCCATAGGATGTTAAAAGCACGTGATAGGGGCTTCTCGCAGTTCTTGATGAACACTGAGTTCCACAAGTCTGGCCCTGGAGCAGAGTGCATGGGCATGTCATTTATCGCCTATTTGAAGTCATTTGGCATCAGGATAATGTCAGATAGGCTTGTGGTTTACCAAATTCTGTGGTTCTCTCATAAAAAATTAATTTAGATCTTTGACTCTCAGTCTGGTTAGCGGCTTGCTAAAAACTGAGTCATATTGGGACTTGAGTAGCTCACTCATTTCCTTGCTGTCATCTGTGTAGGACCCATCTTGTTTAAGTAGGGGCCCAATACTGGATGTTGTTCTCGACTTGGATTTGGCACAAGAAAAGAAATACTTTGGGTTTCTTTCAATTTCACTTATGGCTTTTAGTTCTTCCCGTGATTCTTGACTCCTATAAGATTCCTTTAGCTTTAGTTCAATGTTTGCTATTTCTCTGACCAGTGTCTCCCTACGCATTTCAGATATATTGGCCTCTTTTAGCCGCTCTGTTATTCTCTTCCTTCGTCTGTACAGGGAGAGCCTGTTTCTTTCTATTTTACATCTACTCCTCCTTTTTCTTAGAGGAATAAGCCTTGTGCATACATCGAGTGCCACCGAGTTAATCTGTTCTAGGCATAAGTTTGGGTCTGTGTTGCTTAGTATATCTTCCCAGCTTATATCGGTTAGGTCTTGGTTTACTTGGTCCCACTTTATGTTCTTGTTATTGAAGTGTGTTAAATAATACAGCAAGTGTGTTAAATAATACAACAAGTGTGTTAAATAATACAACAAGTGTGTTAAATAATATAATAAGTATCTTAATACTGTCATTTATCACTCAGCATCTGACTGTCTGTCTGTCTGTCTGTCTGTCTGACCGACCCTCATTTTCCGTCTCCTGCATCAAGGAGGAACACACTCACACTCCAACACACTCACGCACCAACACACTCATGCACCAACACACACACACACACACACACACACACACACACACACACACACACACACACACACACACACACACACACCAACACACACACCAACACACACACACACACACACACACACACACACACCACACACACACACACACACACACACACACACACACTACAACACACACTACAACACACACTACAACACGCTCACACACCAACACGCTCACACACCAACACACTCATGCACCAACACACACACACACACACACACACACACACACACACCACACCACACACACACACCAACACACACACCAACACACACACACACACCAACACACACACACACACACACACACACACACACACACACACACACACACACACACACACACACACTACAACACACACTACAACACGCTCACACACCAACACGCTCACACACCAACACGCTCACACACCAACACGCTCACACACCAACACGCTCACTCACCAACACACTCACTCACCAACACACTCACACTCCAACATACTCGCATTCCAACACACACACACCAACACTGTCACACACTCCAATACACACCAACACTGTCACATACTCCAACACACACCAGCACTGTCATACAATCCAACATTGTTGCAGATTCCAACACACACCAACACTTTCAGGGTAGCGTGGTGGGAATTTCTGACGCAGTCAAGATAATTATGCGAAAAAATATGATTTTGGGTTTTGTTTACAGAAAAATAGTGTAAGTATCTGGGAACATTTTGGTGAAAACCCCATCGTAATACGATGTTTCTAAAGCCAATTATAGCCACTTGAAACATATCAGGTGATGACCTGCCAGGTAAATGTATGCGTAAGTGTGAGGTGAATTTTTTATATATTTTTTGTTTGTTTTTTTTAATTTTCTGTCTATTTTTCTTTCTAATACATTAAATTTACCACTTAATATCATTACAATGTAGGAGGAGCTTATATCAGAGGTGGGCAGAGCCTGCATGATGGTGCAACAACCAGTTGCAGATGACATCAGTTGTTAACATAACATTGTAAGTCACCCTTTGTTAACATTCTAAGTCACCAGTTGTTAACATAACATTCTCGCAGTATGAAGAGAAAAGATGGGGCAATGAGTGATGGATGGGGTGATGGGACTCACCAGACTTGTGAGGAGAGACAATGGGTGATGGATGGGGTGATGGGTAATGAGACTCACCAGACTTGTGAGGAGAGAGAATGGGTGATGGATGGGGTGATGGGTGATGGGACTCACCAGACTTCTTCTTGCGAGGAGAGACAATGGGTGAGGAGTGTGGTGTGTCTGGCTTGCTTCTCTCCAGTAACTGTAACTGTAGTCGTGCTACTGACAATTCCTTCTGTGGACAACAAGCCTCATTAATCCACTAACACATTATTACTATTAGTAGTAGTACATAGTATTATTGGGGGAGCACTAAACATGTAGGGATTATTCATTACTTGGGGAAGGGGGAGATGGGAGGCTAAACTCAGGGAACTGAAACACAAATTCAAATCCAACAAGAGAATAGCAGCAATCATGCCAGAGAGCAAAACATTTACCAGGCTTCCACTAATAACAACTTTCCACTCGGCTGTCACTAGGAAACACCTGTATATGCAAGAAGGGCGACAGGATTTGAACCTGCGGTCTAGTGGTCCTAGTGTAACTAGCGTGTCAACTACGCCACAGGTCATAGCCAACACCCTACAGACATGCTTACCCGGGTACGTTGATGATGGCAACACCTGCAATGCGACCATGGGTGTTCGCCGACACTCCACTTTCACTGTACTTGTGTTTTGGGCAGAACGCCCGTTTTCAGAGAACTGTGATTTACCAGTGACCTGTGAGGAGGGTTTTGCCGCCCTGGTGACCCAACCTGAGGCCAGACCACTATCCTGCTGGCCATCTGGTCCACTCGACTCTTGGTGCTAGCAGCTAGCAGCACCAGTCTGTGCTGACACCAGTGTTGATACTAGCAACACTACAGCATGTGCTGACACCAGCCCAGACCACTATCCTGCTGGCTGTCTAGTCCACCTGATGTTGGTACTAGCAGCTAGCAACACCACAGCCTGTGCTGACACCAGGCTATGAGCATAGAATAACTTCCAAATCATGTGTACACGAAGGTCTATATAATACTTACATTTTTTTTTCTTCAACAAGTCGGCCGTCTCCCACCGAGGCAGGGTGACCCAAAAAAGAAAGAAAATCCACAAAAAGAAAATACTTTCATCATCATTCAACACTTTCACCTCACTCACACATAATCACTGTTTTTGCTAGAGGTACTCAGAATACAACAGTTTAGAAGCATATACATATAAAGATACACAACATATCCCTCCAAACTGCCAATATCCCAAACCCCTTGACTGTCGCAAGCCCCTTTCTGAAACTGTCATTCTATGTTGCAAAATTTTTGAAAAAAAAAAAAAAAATTCTTCTTATGAAATGATAGAGAATCTTTTCCCGATGGTAATGACACCAAAAGTTCGAAATTTGGTCGAAAACTCGTGGAATTAAACTACCGCGAAGTTAGCAGTCTCGGTGACATATACGTATCGGCGATTTCGCCGACTTTGAGCCCTGTTTTTAGCCAATTCCGTTGTTCCAGTTGACCAAACTCGTAGCTATTTCTTTAGAACTCCATTTTATCTATCAGTTGAGTACAAGAAACCGCCCATTTACTGGTTTGAACTACCCAATAAAGTGGTCAGAAATTGGCAATTTGGCCAATTTCACGCAAATTAAAAAAGATGCCAATTTCAAAATATGTCCAGAATAAACAATGTAGACATTCTTGGCACTAAAATAACATATCCTCTGTTTATTAGTCATGTTTCTAGGCCCCTCTTATATTACTATTGCTTTCTATTTTGATTTTTATTCATACAAAAAAATACAAAATTTACTGTTATGCAGACTACTGCATTATTGTAAAAATGGTATAAATAATATCAGTGCACTAGTGAAAGAATATTAGACTTCCCAGTTGACGTGTATTGGACGTGTGGTGTGATTTGCTTACTCCTGAACATTGGTAAAAATCGAACATTTCTGCTACTTTGAGCTCAGTTTCAAGGTCGTTTTCATCGTGAAAGTAATGAAAACCATTTCCATTTCTTTAATATGTTTTCCATTTTATCACCTAAGACCATGAAAACGAGAATACAACGATAAATACTATACGAAAATACACCTCAAAGTCGGCGTTTTAATCCAAAAAAACGGTCAGTTTTATTTTTCTCATTACGCACTGTGTGCTGCAGGATATTTTTTATGTGGTGCACACTGACCACACAGACCCACTCTCTCACATGTGGCCCGGGCCTACCAGGTTTCTCCTGCTTGATTTGAAGCCGCTAGAATTTATGAGTATATATACGTCAGAAACAGTGGCGCGTACGACGTATTTATACGGCGTAAACAGTCAAAGGGTTAAAGTGCAGGCATTGTACCTCCCATTTCCAAGACTCAAGTCTGGCTATATAAAAATAACCGGTTTCCCTGAATCCCTTCACTAAATATTACCCTGCTCGTCAGGTCCCAAATACCATTCGTCTCCATTCACTCCTATCTAACATGCTCACGCACGCTTGCTGGAAGTCTACATAATGCATACATGAGTCTACACAATACCTAAATTTTTTTCAACATGTCAACCATCTCCCACCGAGGCATGGTGACCAAAAAAAGAAATCAACACTTTCACTATCATTCACACTATCACTGTCCTTGCAGAGGTGCTTAGATATGATAGTTTAGATATCCTTCCAAACCCTCCTTTTCCAGGACTCAAGTCTGGCTAACTGGTTTCCCTGAATCCCTTCACAAAATATTACCCTGCTCAGATGCTAACAGCTCATCAAGTTCCAAAAACCATTTGCCTCCATTCGCTCCTATCTAACACACTCAAGCACACTTGCTGGAAGTCCAAGCCTCTCACCCACAAAACCTCCTATACCCCCTCCCTCCAACCTTTCCTAGGATGACCCCTACCCATTCTTCCTTCCATTACATACTCTCTCTAATTCATCCTATTTTGCTAAATAACCAAACCACCTCAACAACCCCTCTTCAGTCCTTTGAATAATACTTTTATTAACACTACACCTCCTGATTTCCACACTACGAATTCTCCGCATAATATTTATTCCACACACTGCCCTTAAGACACGACATCTCCACCGCCTCCAGTCTCCATCTTGCCGCAACATTCACAACCCATACTTCACACCCATATAAAACTGCTGATACCACTATACTTTCATACATTTCCTTCTTTGCTTCCATGGATAATGTTCTTCGTCTCCAAAGATACCTAAGTGCACCACAGACCTTTTTTCCTTTATCAATTCTATGGTTTACTTTGTCCTTCATACACCCATCTGCTGACAAGTCTAATCCCAAATATCTGAACGCATTCATTTCTCCCATACTTCCTCCATTTTTTCTTTACCTAGCTCATTTGATACGCTTATTACCTTACTCTTATCTATGTTCACTTTCAACTTTCTTCCTTTACACCCCGTCTTCCTCCCAAACTCATCCACTAACCTTTGCAACTTGTCTTCAGAACCTCCCAAAAGCACAGTATCATCAGCAAAAAGTAACTGTGTCAACTCCCAATTTGTATTATATTCCACATAATTTAATTTCACCTTCTCCCCAACACCCTAGTGTCATATTGAAGCATAATAAACTCGCCTCCGTCTTGCCTCCTATGTGTCTGTCATACAACAACAAGTCGAGTCAATGAAGATAAGTTAATAAAGGTAAGTGTGATGTTAAATGATCATTTATCCATTTTATTAGTGCTTTATATTTATTTGTCATTGTTTTCTGTATATTTATATTTATTCTTTTAAAAAAAAATCTTTTTTTGTTATTACTTTTGGCTGTCTGATACGGATTAATTGGATTTCCATTATTTCTTATGGGGAAAATTAATTCGAGTAACGGCTAATTCGACTAAACGCTAGCTCTCTGGAATGGATTAAAGCCGTTGGTTGAGGGTCTACTGTACTAAATTTATACCTATTCCATGCACTTGCAACATCTGCCACATTGCTCCCCTATCCACATTATCATATGCCTTGGTCTACACATCCCATACCCTTCTTAATGCCTCCTTGTTCATCTGCAATCCTGCTCTCTGTCTTACTTCCAATTCATTAATAACTCTACCGTACATTTTACTTGGTATACTCAACAGGCTTATTTCCCTGTAATATTTACACTTGTCACCCTTACCTTTATATAAAAGGAACTATGCATGCTCTCTGCCAGTCTCTAGGTACCTTCTCCTCTTTCATACATATACTGACCAAAAGTACCAACCATTCACAAACTATATCCCCATCTGCTTTTAACATTTTTGTCTTGATCCCATCAATCCCAGCTGCTTTACCCCCCTTTCATTCAACCCACAGCCTCACGCACCTCCCCCATCACAATCCTCCGCACCCCCCTCCCACCCCCCATCACGCACCTCCCCCATCATGCACCTCCCCCATCACGCACCTCCCCCACACTCATATCTTGGTTTTCTTCACTCCTACAAGATGATATACCACCCTGGCCAATGCATGAAATTACTGCCTCCTTCTCTTCATCAACATTAACAGTTCCTCAAAATATTCCCACCAACTTTCCAATACCTCCAACTCCCCATCATCTTCTTTAATCTGTTTTTATCTGTCAAGCCCATTTGTTCCCTAGGCTTTCTTAACCTATTCATCTCACTCCTAAACTTTTTCTTATTCTCAGCAAAATTAATCAACAGTGCCTCACCCAATCTATCATTTGCTCTCCTTTTGTCACTCTCTCACCACTCTCTTCACCTCTCTTTTACTCTTCATATACTCCACACTTCTTATATCACTTCTCATAAATGAAATTTTTCTTCATTATCACACCTTTTACCTTATCGTTCTACCAATCACTCTTCTTTCCTCCTGCACCCACCCTTGTAGTCACAAACTTCTGTCCTGCGTTCTAACACTGCATTATTAAAACTATCCTACTCCTCTTCAACCCCCCCCCCCAATAACTATGCTCTCACTATCCCACTTTTCTCCCCATAGTCGCTCATATCTTAGCCTAACTTCGTCGTCCCTTTGTTTATAAACTTTCACCTCTCTCTTACTTTGATACCATTCTCCCTGTACCTCTTACTCTAACTGTAGCTACAACTAAATACAGTGGACCCCCGGTTCGCGAAGCCATCGGTATCCAATAAATCCGGTATCCGAAGCATTATATCACAAAAAATTTGCCTCGGTTCCCATTACAAAACCCGGTATGCGATACGATTCATGCGAGACATGTCCAGTGTTTACAAGCCAGCCAGTGTGCGCGCATCTAAGGATACATTCGGTACATTCTATATTATCCATATTATCACTGTTTTTGGTGCTTGTTTCTGCAAAATAAGTCACCATGGGCCCCAAGAAAGCTTCTAGTGCCAACCTATCGAGACCAAGGGTGCTAATGACTATTGAAATTAAGAAAATATGTGCAAAGTGGCTTGAAGTGCAAACCTTTTTTGATGAAAATCACCCTGACACAGCTACTACAAGCCGTTTTGGCAACCTGTACACTGACAATGTTGTGAACCACTTTAGGAAAGTCATAAAGGAACGAGAGGTACAGGCCTCTATGGACAGATATGTTGTGCGACAGAAGTCCAGTGACTCTCAAGCTGGTCCTAGTGGCATTAAAAGAAGAAGGGAAGTAACCCCGGAAAAGGACTTGCTACCTCAAGTCCTAATGGAGGGGGATTCCCCATCTAAACATTAAAAACTTCGACACTCTCCCCTCCTCCCATCCCATCAATCATCACCAGATCTTCATTAAAGATAAGTGTCAATTATTCTATTGTTATTATTGTTATTGTAATTATCATATTGCATTAAACTTAATATATCATGTGGTAAAAGTTTTTTTTTCATACTTTTGGGTGTCTTGCATGGATTAATTTGATTTCCATTATTTCTTATGGGGAATATTGATTCGCTTTCCGATAATTTTGGTTTACGATGAGCACTCAGGAACGGATTAATATCATGAACCGGGGATCCACTGTAATGATCTGATATATCTGTTGCCCTTCGGTACACATTCACATCCTGTAGTCTACCTGTCAACCTTTTATCCAACAATACATAATCTGACAACCTACTTTTGTTACTTGCTATACTTACATGTCTACATAATACCTACATGTGTCTACATAACACCTACATGTGTCTACATAATACCTACATGTATCTCCACCTGTAATTCCTTCTCCAGTTGTGCTCTCTTCTTGAGAATGTCCTTCTTAAGCAGTTCTTTGTGTCTGGTCATTAAGGACTCCAGCTTGTGCTGGACAGCCTGCTTCTTCCTGGCGTCCACGGCCTCAGCCTTCACTGCTGCTGTCCTCCTGGCCCGGCCGGCCTCCGAGGGCCGCTGCTCCGACCGTGGCTTCTTGGGCCGGGGTTTTGGCACTGTGACAGTCACCAGCGCTGGCACCTTGCTGACCGCCGGGTCCCAATCGTTATCATCCTGGAATAAATAAGTCGTTATTTGAAGCTGCACCTGACCTGTCAAATGACATGGCCAGACCTGGTGAACAATGTCGGCCAGACCTGACAAACAACGCTGGCCAGACCAGGCGAACAACACCGGCACACTGACGAATTCCATCACGTTATAACACATTTTATTAAGAAAGGATTTAAAAAATAAAAAAATTGAGGAATTCTATAAACTAGAATCTAGTAGTTGCTAGTGTGAGAGCATCATAAACTAGTGTGTAGCAGCTGCTAGTAAAGTGAGAGAATCATAGTGTGTAGCAGCTGCTAGTAAAGTGAGAGCATTATAGCATGTAGCAGCTGCTAGTAAAGTGAGAGCATCATAAACTAGTGTATAGCAGCTGCTAGTAATGTGAGAGCATCAAACTAGTGTGTAACAGCTGCTAGTAATGTGAGAGCATCATAAATCTGCATGTAGCAGCTGCTAGTTATGTGAGAGCATCATAAACTAGCATCTACCAGGTGCTAGTTATGTGAGAGCATCATAAAGTAGTGTATAGCAGCTGCTAGTTATGTGAGAGCATCACCTACATAGCTAGGTACAACAGTGCAGTAGCTAGGTACAACAGTGTGGTAGCTAGGTACTACAGTGTGGTACCCAGGTACTACAGTTTGGTATTAGGAAAAAAACAGTTTTGTAGCTAGGTACAACAGTTGGAGGGGTTAAACTTTAGGGTAGCTAGGTACAACGGTTGGGTGCTGGGTACAAGGGGTTCAAAACAAGGTACAGGGTGTGGTAATTGGAAAAAACGCATGGTCCCAAAAACCCTGGGACCGGGGCGAGGGAAAAAGGGTCACTGATTTTGTTGCGGGGTCGCTTTGGACGGCCCCGGGCCCTGGCGGGGGGGGTTTGGTTGTTGGGGGCGTGGCATTTAGCGGGGGTTTGGGTGGCGGCCAGCGAAGTTTTGTCCTCATCCTTTTGGTCTGTTCACTGTTGTACTTCTGCAGCTGCATAACTTTTCCTCAATGTCCGGCGCCCCCGGTCTTCCCGGGTCAAGGTGACTTGATGGCTGTTTCCCGCAATGCAAGACAGATTTTAGATTTTTGCCCCCAGAAATGGCTAGTTTATTGTGCCCCCTATCCCTCCTATGGTGGTAGTGCAAGGGGTATATTGGGTTCACAAAAAACCCAGGAACTGGCCCCAAAAGGGTTAACGGAGTCCTTTGGTTTATATTTACAGTTCATTTTGTGTTTTCAAGCAAAATTTTGATTTAAATTTGGGAAAATAATTATAAATATAAATAAATAAAAAAATAAATAAATAAATTTATATATATATATATATATATTTATATATATAATATATATATTTATATATATATATAAAATTTATGTAATAAATAATAAAATTTTTTTTAAAAATAATAAAAAATTAAAAAATAAAAATTAAATTTAAAAAACCCCAAAATTTTAAATAAAAAATTTTTAAAATTTTTTAAAAAAAAATTAAAAAATTTTTATTTTTATATATTTTTATATATATATATATATATATATATATATATATTTATATATATTATAAATATAATATATATATATAAATTAAAAATATATATATTTTTTTTTTTAAATTATCAAAACCGGCCGATTCCCCCCAAAGGGCGGGTTTGGCCCGAAAAAAAAAAAATTTTAAACCATTTTCCCCCATCACTGTCTTGCCAGAAGGGGGTTTTTACACTACATTTTTTAAAAACTGCAAAAAATTAACACCCCCCCTTCAGAGTGCAGGCCTGTACTTCCCATCCCCCGGGAAACCTCAGTCCGGCCTCCCGGGTTTTTCCCTGACCCTTTTTCTTTTTACTTTGCTACACTCCAACAGAAAAGTCAATATTAAAAACATTTGTCTCCCATTCATCCTATAAAACACGCTCAGGGCATCCCTGCTGGAAGCCCCAAAGCCCCTCGCACAAAAAACCCCCTTTTAAACCCCCTCCCCCCAAACCCCTTCCTGGGCCCGCCCCTTTACCCCCCCCTTTCCCTTCCATACGGGATGATACACCTTGGAAGAATTCTTTTTGCTCCTTTCTTCTCATGTCCCAAACCACCTAAACATTTACCCTTTGGCAATTTTTAAACCCGCACCCCCTCCACCCAAACCCTTCCTCTTTTTACACCAAACCCCCTCGAAAAACATTTTACTGTGTTTCCCCTGCTGAAAATTATCCCCAAAGCTTCACCCCCTATAAGAGCGTTGGAAAAACTAAAAATTAAATTCATTTCCCCGGGAAAAAAAGTTTTTCCCACAACTCCTAAGTGCACCCTCATTTCTTTTTCCCCTTCAATTCCCGGGCACTCATTTTCAAGACCCATCCCGCACACCCAAAACCCCAAAAAAATCGTTCACCTTTCCCCATATTTCCCCCTCCAATTGAATTTCAACCCACCTAATTTTTTGACCTAAACCCCACTTTTCGATTACTTTAATTTTCTTTTTTACACCCTTTAAATTATACCAATCCTGAAACCTTTCAGAACCCCCCAAAAAGGCACAGTTCAAGAAAAGGCACTGGAAAAACCCCAGTGTTTTTCTTTTTTTTTTCTGCCTTCCAAGATGCATTTACTTCTTAAAACAACCCCACAATATTTATTTTTATATTATATTTTTTAAAAATTTTTTTTTAAAATTATTATTTAAATTTTTTTTTTAAATATTTTTTTTAATTTAAATTTTTATTTTATATTTTTATTTATTTAAAAAATTATTAATTTGCTTAAACAACCCCTTTGGGTTAAAAAATTTAAAATTATTATATAGTTTTTTAAAAAGGGTGGGGTTTAAACATAAAATGATGAGGGAAAAAAGGGATGGTGCTTTGAGGTTAGGGGAGTCAAAAAACTTATCTATGGAGGAAAGAAGGGAATGTATGAAAGTATAGTAGTACAAACATTTTATATGGTGTGAAGCTTGGGTGGAAAAGCAGCACAAAGAGGGTTGGGGCGTCCTGTTTTGGGAAATGTGTGGTGTAAATATTATGCAAATTCGGAGTGGGGAAAATTTGGAGAAGGTGTGGATTAATAAAAGCATTAGTCGAGGGCGAAGAGGGTTGTTGAGGTGGTTTGGCATTTAGAGAAAATGGATAAAAGTAGAATGACGGGAAAAGATATAAATCTTAGGGGAAGGAAGGGGGTGGGGGTCTCATCAAAAGGGGTTGGAGAGAGGGGGAAAGGGGGTTTTGTGGGCAGGGGTTTGGACTTCCAGCAACGGGTGAGGTTTTTAGTAGGAGGAATGGAGACGAATGATACTTGGGATGACGATTTTTGGGTGTGAGCAGGTAAATTTATGAAGGGATTAGGGAAACCGGGTTTTTTTATAAGTCGGACTTTTCCTGGAAATGGGGAAGTACAATGCCTGCCTTTTAAAAGGGGTTTGGGTATTGCAGTTTGGAGGATATTTGTGTATCTTTAACTATATCTTCTAAACTGTTGTGTTCTGAGCACCTCTGCAAAAAAAGTGAAAATGTGAGTGAGGTGAAGTTTTGAATGATGATGAAAGTATTTTCTTTTTTGGGGTTTTCTTTTTTTTTTGGGGCACCCCCGCCCCGGTGGGGCGGGGCCCACTTGTTTGGGAAAAAAAAAAAAATTTTACTTATTTCATTTAAAAAGAAGGGTGACTGTTCAATTTTTTTACTGTTGTCTCTGTATTCCTCAATAAGTGGAAATTATGCACAGTGTTTAAGAGTGACCACAGCACTGGCCCATACTTTTCATTTGGTTTGTCTCATATGTGTGTTCCAAAATGCCAGAAGTACTTGTAAAACCCAAACCTAAGCCCGGCCACTACAAAATCAGCGTACTTGTAACCAAGCCTAACCTGGCCCTACAAAAAATCAGTCGTACTTGAACCAAGCCAAGCTGGGCCCCTACAACATCGTCAGTCTTGTAACCAAGCCTAAACCTGGCCAAACAATCAGCAGTACTTGTAAAACCAACCTAACGGCCAACAACTTGTCAGTACTTGTAAAACCCAACCCAAGCTGGCCAATACAAATCAGTCAGTACTTTTAACCAAGCCCAAGCCGGCCCCTAAAAAATCATCAGTCTTGTAACCCAAACCTAAGTTGGCCACACAACATCAGTCAGTACTTGTAACCAAGCCTAAGCCTGGCCACTACAACATCAGTCAGTACTTGTAACCAAGCCTAAGCCTGGCCACAAACAACATCAGTCAGTACTTGTAACCAAGCCTAAGCCTGGCCACTACAACATCAGTCAGTACTTGTAACCAAGCCTAAGTCTGGCCACTACAACATCAGTCAGTACTTGTAACCAAGCCTAAGCCTGGCCACTACAACATCAGTCAGTACTTGTAACCAAGCCTAAGCCTGGCCACTACAACATCAGCCCAGTACTTGTAACCAAGCCTAAGCCTGGCCACTACAACATTAGTCAGTACTTGTAACCAAGCCTAAGCTGGCCACTACAACATCAGTCAGTACTTGTAACCAAGCCTAAGCCTGGCCACTACAACATCAGTCAGTACTTGTAACCAAGCCTAAGCCTGGCCACTACAACATCAGTCAGTACTTGTAACCAAGCCTAAGCCTGGCCACTACAACATCAGTCAGTACTTGTAACCAAGCCTAAGCCTGGCCACTACAACATCAGTCAGTACTTGTAACCAAGCCTAAGCCTGGCCACTACAACATCAGTCAGTACTTGTAACCAAGCCTAAGTCTGGCCACTACAACATCAGTCAGTACTTGTAACCAAGCCTAAGCCTGGCCACTACAACATCAGTCAGTACTTGTAACCAAGCCTAAGCCTGGCCACTACAACATCAGTCAGTACTTGTAACCAAGCCTAAGCCTGGCCACTACAACATCAGTCAGTACTTGTAACCAAGCCTAAGCCTGGCCACTACAACATCAGTCAGTACTTGTAACCAAGCCTAAGCCTGGCCACTACAACATCAGTCAGTACTTGTAACCAAGCCTAAGCCTGGCCACTACAACATCAGTCAGTACTTGTAACCAAGCCTAAGCCTGGCCACTACAACATCAGTCAGTTCTTGTAACCAAGCCTAAGCCTGGCCACTACAACATCAGTCAGTACTTGTAACCAAGCCTAAGCCTGGCCACTACAACATCAGTCAGTACTT